CAGATTCTCGTATGAAAGAAGCATTTCTTCTTTTAAAATAGACATATCCGAAGACTGCTTTGATAGAGTAATGAGCCCATCTTTTTGGCCAAGCGGTGCCTTCATTCGCGAATTTGAATTTAGACCTAGACCGCAAGGGCAAAATTTGGCTCAACTTCCGCTTTCCACCTCGGCATCAAAAAACTAATAAGTAACCTCACCATTAGCATTTACTACCAAAATGTGAGAGGTTTGAACACAAAGCTATCAAGGTTACACTTGCAGTCCTATGATTTTGACTTCAAAGTACTGGTGTTTACTGAAACCTGGCTCAAGCCGAATGTGTTCAACTCGGAAATTTTGTGTCCTAAGTATGAAGTGTTTCGAAACGACCGTTTAAATAAAAAAGGTGGAGGCGTCTTAATCGCTGTCCAGACTGACCTTTCTTCTGAAGAAATTGAGTTCACTGACACCGATGAAGTTGAATTCCTCTGCGTTCGAATAAGATATCATTCTATTAGCGTTTATCTTGTTGCTGCTTATATACCACCTAACTCGAGCCTTTCTGTTTATTTAAAACACTCCTCCTTACTGCTCTCTCTACATGCCATGGTGAAGCCCTCCGATACTGTTATTGTCCTGGGTGACTTCAATCTTGCGGGTGTTTCTTGGGATCTAATAGATGGTATTCTAGTACCAAATTCCTCTCGTGATCTCTTCAATCAATTTTTGAACGATCTGTCAGATCTTAGTCTTTACTAGATCAACTCTGTTAGTAATAACTTAGGTAAATGTCTGGATTTAGTTTTTGTGGACGATGTTTCCAACGTCACAATAGCCCCTAGCTATGCTTTGATTACCCCTGTTAATTCTCACCACCCACCACTAGAATTGTCCTTGATAAATTCACGCAACTCATGTTGCTTTATCAGTAAAAAATCAAGAGCGGAGCGTTACTCATTTAAAACAGCAGATAACTTTGGAAATTCTTTCAAGCGAAAGTTTAAGTGACCGCACAGTACGACCGTTGCCAGATTTGCGAAAAATAGAAAATAAGTATTTCCAAACTTTCTAGCAAGCTTTTTTAAACGAATATTTCACCGGTGCGTTGGTTGCACCGGTTTTGGTTGGTTATGGTAGGAAATTTTGGTAGGAAAAAAAATTTGACTGTGGCAACACTGGATAGTATACACGTGTCGACGTCGCAGCAAGCAGAATTTTCAAACCCAATTACATGTGTTTGGAAAATCAGAAAATGTCCATCTCTGATCTAAAAGATTTTAAACAATAAATATTGCCGTAACATTTTCGTTGTTATGATTTTTATTCATGTGATTAGCAGTGGCAAGAATGTATGTATGTTTTAATTACATATATGTATATTAAAAATGAAATGATCAGTTATGAAATAGGTATATAAATCTTTACATGTTCTGTTAAAAATATCTAAAATAACACACGAAAATCCCCAAGTCCTATATCGTAGCAGTGGCCACATTGCGTGTTTTTCACAGACACGGTTTGTGTAAAGAAATTTGAAGTGAAACTACCTTCTAAAAATTATTGTATCATGCAGTTTTCTATATTTGTTCTACGCGCTATTGGAAAATTAAAACCGGAACACATATATACAAGTTTTAACAAACTTTTTTTGCTATTTAATTCATATTACTTGTTTTTAATATTTAAACAAAATTCAACAAAGTTTCGTAAAACTTCAAGTTTTTAATAAGAATAATACAAAAATTATGTATGCAGTTTTGTAGCCCATTAAATTTTAATACAATAAAGTGCAAGTTTGATGTTTGCTGAAAAATTCTTTGATTTTTGATATTTTTTTGTGCTAGCGGTTCTGTGCATTTTTTCCATGCGAAAAAATTGTAGAACGTACTTTTTTCGTTTTATTAACAACACCAATCTAGACGTCGTCAAATTAGCGGCCTTTGTCATCGTTAACGGCAACAGCTGATTTGGCGCTAACGAATGTTGTTAGGGAAACGTTTACCGGATGGCTAAATTGTTAAAATTGTCGTTTAGCTGACTTAACAATAACAAGAGTTGTTAAAATCGCGTAGTGAATCGCACCACAGACATCGTCAACGAACTTGTACTTCGCAAGAGCAGCAGTACTGATGACGCAGCCGGGTGAGCAGCGTAGAACAATCGTATCAAGCAGTGTTGCCGTTTTAGCCCTTTGGTGGCTAGATTTAGCACCACTAGTTTTTTTTCGCCACATAAATTTAAAACTGCCCCTAGCCCTTTTTTAGCCCTTTGGAGAATTTATTCATACTTGGCATGAACAAGTTGTATATCGTCATTTAAAGTGCAAAACCGCGTATCAACAAAAGGGGCACCGAAATTGCGCATATGGAAACTGTGCATTTAGACATTATTTCGGTTTCAACCGAAACTGTGCATGTATGTTTTATTTCGGTTTTTGCCATATGCATTATTTCGGGTTTAAACCGAAACTGTGCATGTATGCATTACTTCGTTTTTTTTCATATGCATTACTTCGCTTTTAAAACGAAAGTATGCATATGCATAATTTCGGTATTTTCTCATATGCATT